GTGCAAACAGCGAGCCCGCTCCCTGCACGATAGCGGACTCACTGTTTGCACGGCAAGCGGCAGGGGGCGCGCAGAGTCCACAGATTGGTGCATCGCAGCTCGTCCGTTGTTTATTACTTAGAAAGCGATCGCCGCTTTGAAACCTCACGGATTTGTTTGTCTGAGATAGGCGGAGCAAGTGAACAGGAGCCTCTGAAGTTAAACAATTTCCGCATTTTTAGAGAACACGGGAATGATTTCTTGCAGGGCGATTTTGAATTGGTCCACTGCATGAGGTATCCGACAGAAATCCGCTATGTACAAAAATGGCCCGTCAGAAAATCCGCTAGCCGCTGGACTGATTTTTTTCCCGTCGAAATAAAATAAAATCCGCCAGATTTAGCGGGAAATCCGCTAAATTGGCACCAGTGAGCATCACATTTGTGGGGCCGCGCTGCATATGGAGGGCGCTTTTTCGAATAGTCTCCGCAATAACCGTGTCTGTGTCCGTGTCGTTCGCTCTTCGTTTTCGACGGCCGTGCGCACATGCATAGTTACAGTGCGTTCACATGGTGTGTCTTTCGGGGTTTTTGCCGCCGCCGCCTTCATTCATCGTATATGTATAGTATATGTATATGTACCTATATATATGGAAACAAAAAAAAAAAAGCCGCCTGCGCTCGGCGCTCAGCTCGTCACAATGTGCGGACAGACGGACGCTTATCTTTCACGCGTACTTTGCCCCGCGAATGCGGAGGGCGAGAGGGGGTTAGATGCTTGTGCACACGCGCTTATCTTTCAGTGGGGAGAATTGCGCGCCTTCGACTTTGACCGGAACGATTGCGTTTGCTCTTTTCACACAGTCCTTTCGCATTGAAACCGCACTGATACTCGCCGAGATAGCAAGCGTGCCAGCGATCGCGACCGCCCTTAAAATCCAAGTTCATTATTGCTACTCAAGCGATTCCCCCTCCCCCCTCCTCCTCACGTTGTTTCATGCTCGTTTAAGACAGGTGGTTTACTTTCTGTTTGAGCATTCGATGGCAATTCTAACACACGGGAGATCTTGTGCGCTTTCCAGGCGATGGGGATGGGACGACGACAATGGCGGTGACAGCAAGAACCCGCCGAGAGTGTCCGTATAATTTCTATCACAATAATAACGCAGTTTTTTACTGTAAAATGAGTGTTTGGGGTTAGCTCTGCCTTCAGTTACCCGTTTGTTTAATGTGCGTGTTTTTTTTCTTCCGAATTTTCGTACCGAACCTGCATATGACAAAAGCCTCTTTATAAAATATTTTTTCGGGAATTCATCAATTTTGTTATATCCAGGTTTAACTGTATTTTGGTTTTCAAGGGCTGCATGCCCCCTTAAGAATACAAAATATACATCATAGCAATATTTATCACATCAATATAGAGTAAAAAAAAGATCAGAGGACATCCTGAAAAGAGCATTAGGACTAAGCAAATTGGCACCGACAGCCAAGTGTATGCAACGGAGGTCACTTTTCCCAGCATGCCCCTCGGCACTCTTAGTGTAGAGTGAGCAAGGTACTTCGTATTTTGCTGTAAATTTACCACAGTTTTTAGTCACGTTAATGTAGAGCTTGCAATACCTTTCACATGTCCAAATTTGATCCTGATGTCACGAGAAGCTCGTGCGACATTTCATTCCTTAAGTCGATTTTAGTAAGAAGCACAACAAAAAGCACTCGCTCCACTTTTGCGTTAGATTTAGAGAAAAAAAAAAGTGTCATTGCCTTGCCTGCAAGGTCTTGCATAGAATTAGCACCTGATGCTATATTTCGATCTAGAATTTTATTACAGGCATGTCGGCACTCGCATCTTCAACTTGACGAAAGTGCCGTACTTGCTCCTGAATACGACCTCAGAGCAACCAAATACGTCTCTTTGGCAAGGTTTTCGAAGTGTTTATCGTATTCAGCTCCATAGCAGCTGGTGCCTTGGGCAGTCTGCAGCAATATCTCACTGGAAAAACAAGACCGGCTCGGCTCTCTGCATCCAAATGTTTTTTTATTGCGTCTGTGTTAACAGGTCACGCAAACAATAGCTTAAATGCATTCATGCCAGAAACACAAGCTGTGCATGGTGTGTGCACACAGTGATTTAAAATTGGGACCTGTCATTTCTAAACAAATAAAATTGAACAGTGACATCAGTATCGGCACTGAAAATAATTAACCAGAATAAAAAATGACTGCAAGAACAGCAAGATGCGTGCGCTTCGCTCAAGGCTTCTATGAGCTGCGCGAAGCCACTTTTCGCGAGCGTTCATCTTGGGTGGCGCCATCTATACAGCTCTGAGCATTAGCGCGTAAGGCGGATAGTGGCTAGAAAGCCTGAACGCCCCTGCCAGCTACTTTACAGTGCGGCCTAACCTATATGAGTTTCATCAATAATGTGAGAAACCGTCGTGGTTAGGACGCTTTTTGAGCGCACGCAATTGCTTCTGGTATACTGAGTAAAAACAAACTATTACATGAAGGGTGCCGCAGCCGGCAGTGTGAATGAACACTTGATACTTTTTAGTAGTTGGGCTTGGTTTTAGCGAATATTAGCTGTGGATGGCAATGCCAGAACAATAGCCAAAAAAGTAGTGAAGTAGTCAATGTTATTTTTTGTCGCCGTGGCCTTTTATAAGTAACCAATCTGGCGTAAAATAGCGATACCTGGCACCCCTGGATATTTTGACCTTTCCGTAGAACGGCTGCTGAAACTGAAAATATCTTTTTAAAAAATTGTTTTCTTTTTTTCATTTTTGCTCTAGAAAGGTGTGTTTCGGCCTTAATGTGCCGAAAACAAGCATTTATCAAGCGATGTACTAGCGGCCACGCCTGGTGTAGTGGCGGTGAACTTGGGAATGGCAGCAAGATGTGCGTGTATGGCTGCCACTTCGTACCGTTTGAGCCACACCGCGCTGCCGAGCAGATATCTGCAGATGACTGTGGTAAGGTTGTCGGCAATGAACCCCGCTGTGGTGGTCTAGTGGCTAAGGGACTCGGCTGCCGACCCGGAAGTCATGTGATCAAACCAGCTGCATTTTCAATGGAGGCGAAAATGCTGTAGGCTCGTGTGCTCAGACTTGGGGGCACCTTAAAGGGCCAGTAAACAGCCCCGAGGTCCAAAAATCTTAAAAAAGAGATATATGTACAGTTTTTTTTTTTTTTTGCGAATATGCTGCCGCAAGAATTTTGCAAATAAGTTCAATATAAAGGAACTTACAGGGGTTAGAACATCGGTCTAAGCTGGTTTCAAATTTTCGCCCGGTCTCCGCCCCTTTCTCGCTTCTGTAAGGGGGAAAATGTAGCCCATTGTCGTGACTCCGCCCACTTCGGCAACATGCTCTACGTCAATGATTGGAGTTATCGGTGAACTCGATCAGTTGCAGTGCACTTCCGCTTGCTGCGAAGCGTGGTTGTTTGTTTACCGTTTGCCGCACCAGCCGCGGGTCAACCTGTGTAAGTGTCAGGTACGAAGTGTCGACCACAAACGATCAGGTCGTCAACGTAGGTCGCTGGATGGCCGATTCGCTTTCGCCATGCAGCACGCAGAGCCCCATCGTGAGGCACCCAGTGCCGATGCTTCTCCGCTGCCCAGTCGCTCGATTTGCAGCCATCGACAGAGCAACACTTTTTATCCCTGTTGCTGATGTCATGGGCGAAAGTACGATTGTACGTGCGCACAGGTGCTGTAGTTGAGGGAGGAGTGTACATGTGCATGCGACAACTGCGAGGCTGGTTCTTTCACCGCAGTGCCAAGAAACAAGGGGCAGTTTCGTAGCTGTGGGTGGGAACAGGAACTGACGTTGACTTCACGACTGTTTTTTCATTTTTCACACCTGATTTAGACCAATAGGCGAGCTGCTTCGGACAAGCTGCGTGCTACGTTACGTCGCCGATCGCCGAGTTCACGTCACTGCGTGTGCAAGGGGGTCGGTCAGGCATAGGAAAGATGCGCGAGAATTGTTTTTTCGAAATGGAGGTTTTGCACGGCGTGCAGCGCTGTAATATACAGAAAATGTGATCGCTGCATTCTAATCTACGAATTGCGAAGCTTGTAGGGGGGGTGTCAAATACAAGTCAAAGCCTGTTTACTGGCCCTTTAAAGAACCTCAAGTGGTCAAAATATCCAAAGCCCTCCACTACGGCGTCTTTCATAATCATATGGGGGTTTGGCGACGTTAAACCCCACATATCAATCAAGGTTGCCGGCATTGAGTCAAAATGGCTCGTTAATCACCAGCCGCCACCTTGCCTTCGCTCTTTTCTTATGTTTATTCGTAAAAGCCCTGTGAAGTTAAAATCAATTATTGACTGGTCTCTGCTGTTACCAACCAAAATTGACTGAATACATTTTGTGGCACATTATAGTGTCCATGCAGTGAAGTTTTATGTGACGAAAACTTAATGCTTTTTGCTATGCCTTTTTGGGTTTGAACGCCTTGTTTGGTTTATTTTCAGCAGTTGTAGATGCAGAAAGTGGTCTTAGAAAAGTTGGCCATGCGAAAGCGGACAGAAAGTCTTTATGGAGCCTCCTATTTCATTTTTTTTACCTCACTGCCATTCTGCTAGTGAAAAAACGTCAGAAAAGTTATAAACCTTGCTTGCAGTGTCTAAAGTGTACTGTCTGAAATGTGCGTGTAGTGCTTGCCGCTGTCTACGATGTCTGCGTCGTGAGCACTGTGATAGCAAGTAAGTTACAGCGGGGCACGATTGAGTGTCTCTCACGTGCTTTATAAAGGCTGTGTTAAATTTTTTCATCTCTTCTTATGACCCAATACATTTACCGCGACTGTGTCTTGGAGTGTTCGTTGTAGAAGGGGCAGGCTTTTATAAATATTCTTGATAAGGGGACACAGTTTTAATGGGTAGCATAGAAAAATTGTGAGCACACCATAACTGATAGATTGTTCTATCTGGGATGTGTACCTGGCATTAAGGTGCCTAACTTTCAAGCCTTCATGAAGGGCCATGTGCTTGTGCTCTTGATGCGTGCAGATATGGCAGCCCTGGATCGGTGAGCAAGGAGTATGTGGAGTTTGCCGACTTTTTCCTCAAGGCCTACACCGAAGGAATCCTCCAGGTGGTGCTTCGCGTGTTGGACCAGCACAGACAGAAGGTCTACATCTCTCCCAGAGTGCTCCAGCATGCGCTCAACTACCTACGTCATGGGTGAGCGTTTGCTTTGTTGTCATTTTTGTTTGACGTGAGATTTTGTGGGTAGTTTATATATTACGACGCGCGATTTGATATAATTCCCTATTTTTGTGCCGAGCTGAGCCAAAAGTATAAAATTTGTCTAAATTGCACCATGGTGCGCCAAAATGCCTCACCAGCCTCAAAATTTTCCTATTTGTTGTAACCTTAGTGAGAAATGAAAGCCATCTTGCCTTTCTGCAGTTTAGGCATCATTAACCCATACAATTTAGGTGTGCTGACGGGATGACTAGAATATACCCACAGTTAGATTCTAGCCACGCTGCCACAGTGTAGATATATATATTATTTTTGTGAAGGATACTCGTGCAACTCGATCAACCAGGTGAAGGAACAGTGCCATGCACCTCTCGATCCACTGACAGTAGCGGATATCTATCGGCCGGACAACTCGGCTTCAAGGCAAAAATATGTTTTTATACTCACAAAAGACAATGAATACGTGAGAAAAATGCTAGTCAGCAAATGCGGCTATGTTAAATATTAATGCTGAAAGCGTACGCCACATTTTTCGTTGGCAAACGAACTCGATGTGCTGCAAATGCCGGCGTTGCCGCTGACATGCCACACAACGCATCTTTCTGTCTTCAGGGAATAAAGGTAAGGTTAAGGGCTTGTTTTACTTTGTTAGAAACAATATTAATTTTTTTTTATTTAGTACATACTGACAATCATAAATGGTCCAAGCAGGAAGGGCACATCACATACAAAAAAAAAAAACAGGAATAACATGCATCATACATAATGCAATTCACTCTACTTAATTCACAATGAATGGGGATCACATAATTTGTTCCAATCAGACACTGTCTGTGGAAAGAAAGAATACATAAATACATCAGTTCTCGCGAAATATGGGGTAAGCAAATTGGGATGGTGATGTCGGGTCTGCCTAGTTGATAGGAAAGATAGATACGGTGATGGATCAATGGCGAGTTTATTGTTAAGTAGCAAGAAAAGGAAATCAAGCCGTTGTTTGAGTCTGCGCGAAGCAAGTGGCTGAATGTCATTTGAAGTCATTAGTGCAGAAGGTGAATCAGATGGTAAGTATTTGTTGTATATAAAACGAACTGCTTTCCTTTGAACCCGCTCAATTTTATCAATATTAAACTTAGTGTAAGGATCCCATACTGTGCTGGCGTATTCTAATTTAGGTCTTACAAAATAAAAATAACTAAGAAGCTTTACATTTGGAGGGCAGTTACGCAGTTTATGTCTTAAAAACCCGAGTTTTCGGAGGGCAGCTGAACATATGTTGTTTATGTGGACGTTCCAGGATAAATTGTTAGTTATGGTCAAGCCCAATTATTTATAGCTAGTGACCTCTCTCAGGGATGACAGCCCTAGTTTGTAGATATAGTCTAGCGGATTTTTTTGACGTGTCAGACGCATACAGACACTTTTGTCTACGTTAAGGGTCATTCCCCATTCATTACACCACTGATCTATATTGGAAAGATTTGTGTTAAGCTCGTTTTGATCATTAACAGAGTAAATATCACGAAACAAAACACAATCATCGGCAAATAATCTAATTTGTACAGTAGGTGTTATGACATTGACAATATTGTTGATATAAATGAGAAAAAGCAATGGCCCAGTACACTTCTCTGGGGCACACCTGATGAGACATGAAGAGATGGTGAACGGTGGTCATTAAGGGGGGGCGCGGCAAGTAAAGTGCCGATTTTGGTCAAAATATGCGATTTTCTGATTTATTTTTTTTCGTAATCTTCAGACCTTCAACTTCCTTGTTCTAAAATATTACAGCGAAACGTGCGCTACAAATCCCGCAAATAGTGTTTTTGCCGAGGCTAGTCGCCGAAAAGTGCGAAAAAAAAGCCCCTGAAACGGTGTTGTTCACGCCGCACAAACGCGCCAAGTTGTTGACCGTGGGCCGCCATTTTGGTAGCTTTGGAAAGAGGAGAAAGCCGGCTTCCCGATGGTCGCGGTCTCGTATTTCGCCGAGTGAAAATAAAAGCGCGAGGAGCAAGTAAAAAAAACGAAAACGAAGAACGGCAATTGGCTGCGCGGGTCACGTGGTAGCAGGCGCGACCTCTTACTGGTCAAAGCTGCGCCGCGCACCTTGGCAACCTTGGAAGCGCGAGCGCATCTGCGGCCGCCGTGTCGAGAATCATCCGGCGTGCGCTTCGTTTTTTGCCAGTTTGCTGTTTTTGTGATAGTTCGCGTGCTTTTTTTACCAAGCTTTGTTTACATCGGTGGTCTCTTCTGAGTGCTTGCTCATACTGCGGTGCTATGTTGCCGCAAAAAAAGTTCCGGAGCGTCCACAAGTACGGCAAGCGTCGGAAAGCTTGGAACAAAGGGCAGACGACTGCGGCTGCCGTCCCAGTCGCAGTTCCGGACGGAGCATGCTCTTCAAGCGTCACGGAGCCTCTACTCAGAACCTTCGCTGATTGTTGTGAGGCCGAGAGTGTGGAAGGTGCCACATCGTCGTATGTCAGACCGCCGGATGCCGTCGACCGTGATGGACGCTCTCGCGAACCCGATTGCGGTGGCACCGCGTCGGCAGCCGTTGCAACTCCGGGCGTGCGCGCGTCGAACATTCTATCGCGAGTTTCGGCCCAGATTCCGAGCAGTGAAGAAATCGCGCAGCGGGCGCAGACAAGGCGGGATGTTTTGGATGCCGTAGCATCGAAGTCCGCTTCAAAGCGGAAGCTCGAGCTTCTGAACGAAGGCTGCGACGAAAATGACGGCGGTAAGGACTCCACATTCTTCATTGTAAATAAGAATATGCTGAACGGTCTGCTTTCGTCAGTAAAGTGCAACAAGTGCGACGAAGGGTCGATACGCCTCGAGACTACGCACTGCCTTGGACTCGCGGCGAGGATGGAACTTTTTTGTGACAATTGTGGCAGAGTGAACAGTGCGTGGTCGTCCCCGAGGTGCTCCGGGCAACAAAAAACGAACCCCTTTGAGGCAAACGTGCGTGCTTTGAGGGCTGTGCAGTCAGTTGGCAGAAAACAATCTGCCATAAATGACATTTTTTCTGCGATGGACATTTCGCATCGAGCACTGCACCACAAGTCCTACCAGAGACTGCAAAGGAAGTACAGCCACCCTGCCACCACATCAGCTGCCACCCGCATTGAAGCAGAAAGTGCACAGAAGGTGCATGACATTTACAAGGACCTAGGAGGAGTGCCAGGCAACATTGACGTCATTTACGACGGCACGTGGATGACGAGGGGGCACAGAAGTTATATTGGCGTGGGCTGTGTAATCGAGCTGTACACAGGCTTGGTCTTGGACCACTGTGTCCTGTCCAACTACTGCCAAGGCTGTGCTGTTGGCCCCAAGCCTGGTGACGACAACTATGAGGAGTGGCTTGAGAAACACAAGCCACAGTGCCAAAAGAACACCGATGCTAATGCAGGCCAAATGGAAGTAGAAGCAGCTAGGATCATGTTTGAAAGATCGTTTACCAAGTACAAGCTTCGATACATCAATGTGCTCTGCGACGGTGACAGCCGTACGTACCTTGCCCTCACGCAAGACAAGGTGTATGGCTACATGGTGATTAAGAAACAGGAGTGTGTGAACCATGTGAAAAAAAGAATGGGCACTTCCTTGCGCAACCTTCTTGATGAGCACAAATCCAAAGGCCGAGGACTGAGCATGGGTGGCAAAGGCCGGCTGACGCAGGGCCTGATAAAGAAGTTGACGAATTATTATGGCTGGGCCATTAAGAGCCACCCCAACGATGTTCCTGGCATGGAGAGGGCCATCATGGCCACTTATTACCATGTAACATCCACAGACCAGGATCCACACCACAACCTGTGCCCAAGTGGGACTGACTCCTGGTGCCCGCACAATCAGGCATTGGCCAAGGGAGAGCCGCTGCCGCCTCACAAACATAAACTGCCCCCTCACGTGCGAGTGGCACTGCTGCCAATCTACAAGCGCCTCTCGAACAAAGAGCTCCTTGAAAGGTGTGCGCAGGGAAAAACCCAGAACGCTGTGGAGAGTATGAACAGCCTCATTTGGTCACTCCAGTCCAAGAGTCAGTTCGCCTCCCTTCGAAGTGTGGAAAGTGCAGTTGCAGATGCAGTCTGCCGTTTCAATGGTGGATGCAAGAGTGCGCTGCAAGAGATCACTGCTCAACTGGGCTTCAATCCAGGAGACTGCTCTTTGCGGCGAGCAGCCGAAAAGGATGCCAAAAGGGTAAAGAGGGCTCAAAAGGCGCATTGTTCCACGACAAAGAAGCGCAAAACTGGGTTGCGCTCTACAGAGGCCAAGGCCACAGCATTTCAGGATTACTGCCCAGGAGGATTCTGAGTGTTTTAGTCATGTTGTGAACTTCCAAACAAGAGTGAACTTTCAAAGTCAGTTTTCTCAACTCTTGATTTTCGCCTATGTGCCTTCGCTAGAACATCCGTCATTTTCTAACAAAGACTGATAGAGTCGTTCCGTTTTTTGCACTAGGCTCAGGAGGCCTTTAGCAGTGCAATAAAGCTTTATCTCTCTTCTTACTCATCATTTAAAATTTTTAGAACACATTTTATAATTACTGCGATGTGTGCGCAAAACAACATTCATGTTTTGGAAATTTTATTTATGGTTACAAGAACTAGAAAAATCAACTAATAGCTTCTTTGCACAAGTTGATGCTTTGGGAACATAATAATATGAAAAAATAATTTCATTTAGCAATAATTATCTCTTTAAGTGTGAAGAGCATTAATTAGTATAATTATGCTTGTAACTCAAAAAGTACAAGAGGTATTTGAAAACGGTTTTCATATTTGGAATCCTCACAATCATCCACATACACACACCAAATTTCATCACAAACAGTACATTAATAAAAAAATTAGTTTTACTTGCCACGTCCCCCCTTAATGGCAACAAACTGTGACCGGTTAGTAAGATATTCGGCAATCCAGTTTACGAGAATGTCTGGAAGGCCAATCCGCTTAAGTTTTTGAATCAGT